CACAGAAACACATATTGCTATTTAAATAATTTCTATTTACTTAAAAAAATTTATTTGTCAACCCTAACATTGCATTTGGTTTGATATTTATTTCAGGCCCTTGCTGTAAGATATTTCCTTTTGTATATTTTTAAGCTAGGTTGCTACTTTAAGCTGTAATGTTTTTCATGTTATAAGTAAACAAGAGAACTATTAATAAATACTAAATTGTATGAATATATAGAAAGGGCTCTTCAGCCTAAGAAGTACTTTTCTTGATGTGTTTTACTTGATGCTTTGAAAACTCCTGAAATTTTCTAGGAAATTAATTCCTATGCAATTAATAAATGAGTGTAGACTTGAGCCATATCTTTTGACTCCTGTCCAGTCCTTTTATTTTACCAAACTACCTTTCAAAAACACAAACCAGTTCAACTCCCTCCAAATAAAAATGCAAAACACAATGCAGCTAAACAAGCTGTTCCTTAGCTACGTGTTAGTACAACCATAGCCCAGCTTTGAAAATATTTTCCATTTTCATTATTCACTATTCTCTTTGGTCTCAAGCCTCTCAAACATCTTCACCTTTGAACTTGGAACTTTGCTGTCATTAAATATACAGCAAAACATGTATGGATAAGCCCATGAACTTCCTTTCCCTAAGAGACCGGTGACTATCATTGTTTAAGCATATAGATATGTGGGTGAAAAGGAAATGAAACATTAAAAATTATTACAATAAAAATTGACAGGTAAGTGTCAATAAGTTTTGTTATTTGACTTTAGCCTGCAGTTTGTATTATAAGTGATAAATTCTGTTTTCTTTAACATTCATATAAGGATACATTTGTTTTTCTTAAAAATCCTATTATGTTACCCTAGTCATGATTTTATTTTTTCATCATTTTTCTATTTAACTTCTAGTTGTTAAGAAAAGTAAGACAATTGAGCTGAAGGATAATTTAATTATATGTGTTTTTGCAGAGCTCTTTGTTATTTTAAAAGTTCTATTAGAAATGGAAGATTTAATTTGGGAACATATGTATTCAAATATTTGTATTCATGCACTTAAAACAGAACTTTTTGTCTATTTGAAGTAAAAAATACAAGTATAGTTAACTAAATTCAAGCAAATATTGCCCAATAAAACTTTTTGATTTAATTGATAAAGTCCCCACATATTTTGGTAAATACTGAATGGATAAGAAGATAAAGAAAACTTCACTAGGACTATGCTTTGCATCAATTTAGTATTGAAAAGCACGTTCCATAAATGATAGTTATACAACTCACCATTTCTATCCCCTCAAAATATGGAATTATATCAAGCATATTTAGTACCACCTCTGGCATGAATTGATTTTCACTAACATCAGCCGGCATTTCTTTCTGCCTTAGCAGCCCTGTGCTGCCTATCCTGACGTAATTCAAGTAGAGCTTTCTGGTTCTCAGAATGTCGTTATTGACCTAAGGATTGAGATAAGACATCATTCAGCCCCAATCATCTCTGGCCTTTACATTGATGAAATAGTTTTTTGTTTGTTGTTTGTTGGTATTTTAGAGTAAAATAGTTTGTTTTCATATAAATACTTATGTATTCTTATTTTAAAAGCAAGTAACATAAAAAATGAGTAAAGTTAAAAAAATTAAATTACGCCTTCAATATTAATTTAAACAGAGTTAATTGTCACAATAGTGGATTAGAAGGAAAGCTCTGGTGTCACGATGACTGAATTCGAATCTCAGCTTCACTGAATTGGGCAAATTAATAAATCAATAAATATTATTAATTATAAATTAAGAATTACAAATTCCTTAAAATTTTTGTCTATAAAATGGGGTTAAGACAATTTAATTATAGGGTTGTTTTTAGGATTAAATGAGATAATAATTTGAGAAAGTGAATAGCATCATGCTTTGCAT